TGGGACTCGGGTCATTAAAGTTTTATCAGCAACTCACTGCTGTCTTGCTGACACTGTAATTATTTTGTCAGGAAGCTTCTCTAGTGCCAGGCTCTGCTTTCCCCCCGCAGCCTCCCCAGGGCTTGGTTGTAAACAGAAGGTTGGCTGCAGATGAGCCAGGAGCAGCAGAACTGCAGTAGTGAATCAGGGAAGCAGCTGTGCAGAGACAGCGGGATGAAGCTTGAGTGTCCCTCTCTGCTGGTGCACCTCCATCACCTCCACCACCTGCTCCCCTCCACCAGCACCTGTTGCAAATGAGTTACTACTGTCTAGGTGTCATCCATCAGCCCCACCACCTGCCAAGCCAACTCAGCACCTGATCCTATCCATTCTCCCTCCTAAATCTTCCTCAAACTCCACCCTTTTCTCACCCATCTTTTCCCCTGTTTCACCACTGACTGACTGTAGCATCCTTCTCAGTGATCTCTGTACATCCACCCTTGCCATTCAGAAGCCACTGTTACCTCTTCAAGAAGCAAATACGGCCCTAGTAGCCCCTTCAATCCCCCATTAACATCCTTCCATTGCTCCCTATTGCCCTCAGAATAAAGTCGAGGCTCCTTGCATGACTCGGCCACTGTCTAACTCCTTTACTGTCACTCTGTCACAATGAACTTTGGGTTTCTCGGATGTGCTCAGCTCTCTCACCTCTCTGGAGCCCTTACATGCACTGTTTCCTGTGCCTGCAACACGACTCTCCCTTCCTTCACCTGCTTAAGCCCTAGCCAGCCCAATTCTCAGCAGAGAGACCACCGCCTGCAGAAATGTTCGTTTCCCCGCCTGCAGGCTCCCACAGCACCCTGCTCTTTGCCAATCATGAGCAAACTGTAATTCTTTATTTGCCATAAAACACACACACACATACACACGCACAGAGTAAGCACTTTATGGGAAGGGAACTTGACTAACTTGTTCACTGTTCCCTCAGCACAGTGCTTGGCACATAAGAGGCACCCCAAAAATTATCTGTTAAATGAAATTACTTTCTCAAATACTTCTTATCCCTAGTTGACAATTTTTCACTTTTTACTGAGGCGTAACACACGTATAGAAAAGTGTGCATGTCAGCAGTGTACAGACTGGGGTGATTACAAAACAAAGCTGCTGCAAACCTTACAGCACAGGTTTTTCTGTGAATACAAGCTTTCATTTCACTTGGGTAAATATCTAAAATTGACGTTTGTTGAGTTATGGGCTAACTGTATATTCAGTTCACAAAGAGACTGCCAAACTGTTTTCAAAAGTAGCTTTACCACCTCATAATCTCACCACCAATGTGTGAGAGTTTCAGTTGCTCTATCTTTTTGTCAACACTTGGGACTGTCAGTTTCTTTCATGTAAGCCATTAGAATAAGTGTTCAGTGGTATTTCATTGTGATTTTATTTGCATTTCCCTCAGGCAAAACAGGTGGAACGTCTTTTCATGTGCTTATTTGCCATCTGTATATCTTCTTAAAGTATCTTTTCAAATCTTTTGAGCTTCAGAGTTCTTACATATTCTGTATGCAAGTCCTTTCTCAGATAATTATTTACCAATATTTTCTCCCAGTCTATGACTTGTCTTTTCCTCCTCTTAATAGCATCTTTCAAAGAGCAATGCTCTTAATTTTGGTGAATTCCAATTTATCAATTTGTTCTGCAGTGTGAAAATTTTCTTTGGGCAATAAGCCAAGACAATCACAGATTGATTCCTTTCTGTCAGAGATAACTGCTCTCACTGTTATGTACGGCCATATGATACATATTTTCTTTTTTCCCCTAATTTTTGAGTTAATTTAAGGCAGAAGGGTAAATCCAGCCCCTGTTCCTTCATCTTGGTTTGAGTAAAAATCTCCACAAGTTTTGATACTTAATCTCTTCATTATCATTCAGTTGAAAATATTTTCTAATCTCCATTGTAATTTTTTCTTTGACATGTCAGGTATTTAAAAGTGGACTGCTTACTTGCCAAACATATGGGAGTTTTCTAGTTATCTTTGGATCAATTTCTAGCTTAATTCTACTGTAGTCTGAAAACATGCTTTGTGTGATTTCAGTCCTTTCAAATTTGTTGAGACTTGCCTTATGGCCCAACGTGTGGTCTATTTGGTTAAATGTTCCATGAGCTCTTGACAAGAATGTGCACTCTGTCGTTCTGGGCTGCAATGTTCTATATATGGCAATGAGGTCAACTTAATAATGTTGATTGAATATTCTAAATCTTTACCTGTTTTTATCTCGTTTTTTCTATCAGTTACTGGTAGAAGCATATTAAAATCACTCAATATGATTGGGATTTGTCTGTTTCTCCTCTTTATTTTATTGCCTTTGAGGCTATGTTATCAGATACAAGCAATTTTAGAATTGCCACAGCTTCCTTATGGAATGTATTTTTTTTTTATCATTACGGAATGTCCTTCTTTACCTCTAGTAGTATTTTTACCTTAAAGTATACTTTGCCTGGTATTAGCAAAACTATTCCAGCTTTGTTTTATTTTTTCAGTTATAGAAATTTCATTTGATTCTTTTTTACAGTTTCTTGTCCTCTGCCAAATTTCCTCATCTTGTCATTTAGTGCTCTGAACATTTTAATAATTATTATTTTAAAGTCCCTGTCAGATACCACTACATGTGAATTTCTGTGGTCCTATCTCTGTTGGCTGTATCTTCTCTTGGTTTTCGTTCTAATCCTGGTATGTTTGTTTGTTTTTGTATTCTAGCTTATTTTTCGTTGCATGCTAGACATTGTGGGTGGAAAATGTAGAGGGTTTTAACCTCTGCATCATATTTTCTTAGCCTGAATCCTCCCAGGAAGCAGAAGCTGAGACCTTGACCTGTATACAGATAGTTCACTTGGGGTGGTAAGCCAAGTGCCCAGGAGTGGGGTTCTGAGTAAATTATAAAGGAAAAGAGAAAAGGCCAATTTATGGGGACATCCTTGAACTCGTCATTACCTTGGGAGATGGTGACTAATCCTGCCAAGACCATTTAAAAGTATGTAAATGTATCTCAAAATTTTCCTCCTGAAGAATGGAAGGTAGAAGCACTTACTTCCCAGCTCACATCTGTGGTCGATCAAGGGTTACTCTGTGAATGTTTAAGTCCCTTTCCCTTCCAGGTTGCATGTGCATGAATGAAAGGCCGGTTCCCACAGGCAGAGCACAGGGAACCCCTGGCCTGGGCAGCTGGAGAGCCGCAGAGACTGAGGCAGTGTTGTTCAGTGACGCCTGCACAAAGCTGGTTCTGGCAGCTGTGGCTGGAATGAAACACGGGCCAGTAGGATGCGAGGAAGGACAAATAAATGTTCCACTTTCTCTCCAAAAATTTGCTTTTGCTTCTGGCAGACAGCTAGATAGGAAAAGATCAACTTAATCCAATCAGAGGTTGAGATGACTTAGAGCTGAGCTTCGGTCTTCCTGAGAGAAGAGGATCTGTTTCTGGTTCATCCTTGCAACAAGGAGCAGCTCTCCAGGGCTCTAACTCAAGTCCGAGGCTGTGTAGGGCCCCCCTCCCTTGGCAGGCCCTGAATGCCAACGTTTGTTGCCCTAGCTCTACAGATCTGCCAAAAATACTGCTCAGCCCATCAGCCTCAGCCTCTGCTTCCAAACCAGTAAATGCCTCAGAGGAAAAACTGTTGAAACATCAGGTCCAACGCTGGGAGCCTCTCTTCTTTCTGGGATGGATCTTGGCCCCTCTAATCCTGGCTGCCTTAGCACCTTTCTAAAGCCTTCAAAGGGATTTTTTTTTTTCTTTTTGGTTTGGGTTTTCCATTCGTCCTCAGCAGGAAGATTGGTCCAAGACAAGCTAGACTGCCATTGCAGAAGCAGGACATCCAGTTGCTCGTGAAAATGGTACGGAGGTGAACGTGCACTTTGATGTGTTCAAAACAGCCTCAAAGAGTAGAATCATCTCAAAAGTCAAGTTTGAGCTCTGCATCCATTAAAGGATGGTCTCCTCCTTTGTCACTGCCCCCACTTTGCAGGATCCCCCCCGCCAGGTCTGGCAAGATGCCTGGCACTTAGCACATACTCAGTAGACGTGTTTTGAATGAACAACCTACAAACAGATGACTTTGGATGGAGCTGGGGGGCACCACTTTAGATAGCATTGAACCAGAGAGTGAGTGGCCCCTTCTCTGTCATCCTTCAGGAGAAAGGCTCAGGACGGTGCTCGGATGTCCTTAACAGTCCTCTAATACCTGTCGCTTTCCCTTTCAACAAGAGGAGGGCCGATCTCGGGTAAGTGCCTTCTTAGACAACAGTATCTAGCTGGTCTATAATCAAATTACTTCCATTGTAGTTACATCTCCTGCTAAAGCCTATTTATAGAACATGATCTGGGCTTTCTGTTTACAGTAGTGACATGTCTCCTTTTGAGTAAACTCATGTGAGTTTACGTAAACAAAAATATGAAGTTAGCAGTGGCCTGAATCATACGTAAACATGGCAAAACTCATGAAGGTTGTGTGCAAAGAAGTGAAATTTGAGGAACAGTGCACTTAAGGAGCGCTCCTTCATTGGGAACAGAGCGTAAGGAGAATAAAAGCTGTGACATGGGGAATCCAGATCACAAAAGACCCAAAGCCAAGGGCCTGGCCCTCTAGGGCTTATCACCTAAGCAGGGAGGAACCAAGGTAAGGGGACCAGATGATCACGCTGCCTGAAGTGCCTCCACTGGGTTGTGTTCCTTTGGGTTACAGTGACCCATTTCCCAGTGATCCTATTTCAAATACAAACACTCTTTGAGGAATCAAGCATCCTCACTAGCACCCCTGATGCCTGTCTGCCCCCTAAGACTGAACATAGACAAGTATGCGCATCAGAACAGGGAGGTAGGGGAAGTGAGAACTTTCATGTGGGTGCCTGGGACTTGAGAGATATAGGAAGAATTTTGGAGAAGGATTCAGGTGCCTTCTTCATAAGCATTCACAAAACATTTTCTATTGGCCCTTGAACCTTCACAAAGGCGGGCCTAATATTCACCAACAATGGGGCAAATACTCCCACTTCCAGAAGCTTCCTGAGTTCCTGAAATGAAGTCCACTGATTGGATCAGAACAAATTAACTGCAAAAAAATGCAGAGTCTATTCCACTCCTGTGTATATAGCTGAAAGGAAAAAAAAAAGAAAATACTAATTTGAAAAGATACATGCACCCCAATGTGCATAGCAGCACTATATACAATAGCCAAGACATGGAAGCAACCTAAGTGCCCACCAATAGATGATTGGATAAAGAAGAAACACATTATATAATATACACAATGGAATACTACTCAGCCATAAAAAAGAATGAAATTCTGCCATTTGCAGCAACATGGAGAGACCTACAGAATATTATGCTTAGTGAAATAAGTCAGAGAGAAAGACAAATACTATATGATAGTGCTTATATGTGGAATCAAAAAATAATGCAAAGGAATATATATGCAAAACAGACTCAGATGTAGAAAACAAACTTATGGTTATCAAATGGGAGAGGGAAGGGGAGGCACAAATTAGGGGTATGGGGTTAACAGACACAAACTGCTATATATATATATACTATATATAAAACAGGTAAGTAACAAGATATAGCCTAGGGAATTATAGCCGTTACCTTGTAATGACCTATAATGGAGTATAATCTACAAAAATACTGAATCACTATGCTATACCCCTGAAACTAACATAATATTGTAAATCAACTATACTTCCATTACAAAAAAGCAAGGTCTGCAGAGGCTGCAGCCATGAGGGGGCAGAGAAAGCCAGTGGTCCTGCCTATCACGTTGGCCTGAGATGAACGACTTTTATTTCCCCCAGACGCACCGTGACAGTTACAGAATCACCCACAGCACCCATTCCCAGTTTAATTTCCAATCATGTAGCCTTCACAAATGAATGATGGGGAGAGAGATTTATCAGGGAAATCTTTTTACTGATGTAGCCACTAAACCTATGGAACATTTTTCTTCTTCAATTTCTGTCTTGCGCTTCCTGCAGAAATAAATAAGAATGAGTTAAGGAGCCTCTCTGGGAAGACAGAAAATAAAATATGCACGTTTCAGAACCAGGAAACATCCTGTCGTAAAAGGTGGAGGCTGAAAAGAAAGGAGGAAGACGAGAAACAGCCCAAGAGCCCAGTGTGGTCGGCAAATGTGTTTGGCTTGGAACAAGCAGCGTGGTTAGTTTTTGGGGTTTTTTTAATGTTTAAAATATGTAAAAACTCAAGAGATTTAAAATAAAAATGCAGCTGTCTGGCTTTTCCTGAAAAATCAGCTCTTGACCACCCTGGAAGGAAAGATGGCAACTACTCGTCAGAGTGAAACAGCCGAGGTACTCGCTCTCCAGTTTGCCTCTGCCCCTCCCAGCCCACCTCTCTCATTAGTGCCCCCTACTGAGTGATCAGCTCCCCTCGGGTTGCCCCAGATGGTCTGGTCTTAAAATTGAAAGTCCCATGTCCTAGGAACCCATACAATTCTGGACAAACCAAGACAACTGGCCGTCTTAGATACCTGCCTGGTCCCAAGAAACTTGGCAGATAATACTGACATAGTTTGTGCTACATGCTGAGCCTAGTTTTAAGCATTTTAACCAGATTCACATACTTAATCCTCACAACAATCCTATGAGGCAGGTACTAAGGCACAGACAGCTGAAGTCATACAGACTACCATGAGCTGGGACTTCAGTCCCATTCCCTGAGTGGGGTCTCTGATCCAGGCGAGCCCAGGCCCCTGACTTTAGGCTGATGGAGGAGGAGGAGAGCACAGGACCAGCTTCTTTCCCACTTGCCCCCATGGCTCCCTTTGCAGCAGACGTGCTCCTTGCCCACCCAACAGCTGGTCCCTCCCCTTCTAGCTTTGACTACAGAACCTCAATTTTGTGAAGGCCAAACACGTTCAGGGAAAGCAATGCCCTCCCCCAATCCGAGAGGATGAACCTATGGTCCCCAACATGGTCATTTCACTCCCCTTTTCCTGGTTTGATTGGCTGAGAGCAGTTCTAAAGAATGAGGCTCAAGAAGAGATAATGGTGAGGTTTTTGTTCCCTGATAAAAGTAGTTACAAGAAGAAGTCTCCCTCCTATTTACTACCTTAATGAGATTGTGTGAAGATGAAATACTTGGAGCTGTGGCAGCTGTTTTGTGACTAAGAGACAAGCCTAAGGATGGAAAGTCAACAGATTCAGGTTGGTGGAAAAGGGTAGTCCAGCCATCAGACCACTCATGGAGTGACCCACTTCCAGATTCCTTTATGTATTGACCCTGTGAGTTCATTACGCTGTTACCTGCAACTGAATATATCTTAACTAATATACTATGGAACCCTCGAGAACACCTTTGCTTTTCCCATGAAGTCTAGAGCAGCCTGCTCCCTATTTTTTTTTCTCTCTGTGCCCTGCCATGACCTTGTATGGATTTCCAAGGTTTAGGGGTACCTCTTAAGCATGGGGCGCCCCCAGACCTATTTCACCATACCAGCCACATTGAAGAAAACAGAGAGAGAGAGAGAGAGAGAGATCAATTGGCTGATAAGCTAAAAGCTCACCATGTAGAAGAGAGCCAATTTAAGAGAAGGAACATGTTCCCCATTCACTCAATAAGTAGCATGTTGAGTTTCTACTAAAGACCAAGAATTGTCCCATTTATGGTCCCTTTATGTCTCTTCAAAGCACCTCCCCCATCACAGTGTCCTCAGGTCCTGGCTTTGACATTCAGTAGCTCTGTGACTTTAACAAGATGCTTCACCCTTTCGTGCCTCAGTTTCCCCATCTTTAAAATGGAGATTAATAACAATAATTTCAACCTCATAAGGTCATTGTGATGATTTAATAAAATGATTGTAATGTTTTCAACGAAGGGCCTGGCACATAGAAATGCTCTATAAATATCTGTGATTATCTCTGTTATGGGGTGGAAAGTGGAGAGAGTGAGAGAAATTTAGGCACTTGTGTTCCCACTTTGCAGGAAAGGAACCTAAAACTTCGAGATTTTTCTCAAGGCACCCAAATAGCAAGCAAATAACTTAATTTGAATTTAAACCCAGATTCGTCCAAATCCAAAACTTATTCTAGAGGAGAATATTACTTTGAAGTAGATAATAAAGACCACGAAAAACCGAGAATTTTTATCCATATTTGGGATCCTAGTGATACAGAAAAGCAAAGCTGCCTTCTGAGTGGCAGGCTAAATGCTTTTTACCGAGACCTCTGATTAAAGACCACTACCCTTTGTGATGAAATAGCTGATCTCAGCGTATCAAGAAAGTTATCGCCAAATGACAAACGGAATTAAATACCCACTCAGCTACTGCCAGATGGTCTCTGAAGCCAGAGAACCACAGGACTTGATTACACTGACGGGAATAGGGTCGTGGGCCCCCGACCGGAGAGGAACAAAATCTACTTTCAAACGATTCTCTGATGACTTCAATTAACCGTGGGCCACATCAGACAGTTAGTTGTATAAGCACAGATCTCTTTGTGGCTTTAATTAAATTTCCTCTGGTATAAATGCTGCTTTGAGATTTTCGGAAGGAAAACAGAATGCTCCAGAAATGCAGCTGGAGCTGATGTGTGTGTCATGTAATGAGAGTTCAGGTGGGCTCTTGCCCTTCCCCGGAGCATGTGTAAGAGCTCTTTTGTTTGATGGTAATTATATGTAATTATTATTAGCGGCATTCTCATAAAACCCACGTTCCTCCTTACTTGATCAATTCCCATCCATCCTATAAGGGCCCCCCGGCCCTCGCCACCCGCCCAATCCAGGTGATGCTTGTTTTCGTGAACACAGTTCTGGAACACAGCCATGTGGGCTCATTTACATATTGCCTACCACTGCTTTCATGTGACACCACAGAGTTGAGACCTTATGTGGCCAGCAAAGCCTAAAAATGTTTGCTGAGCCTTGCAGAAGCCGTAGAAGGAAAACCCACTGAAGGAGACTGCTCAGGAGTTTGGACTTCACCCCGAAGTTAGGAGGGAGCCCCTGAAGAGTTTGGAGGAGGCAGCAGAGTGGCTGCTACAGCAGATGCTGTCCATGCCCCATCCCTCCCAGGTCACTCATTCCACCTGGATAAGGCCGCTTTAGTGCAAACACCCGTGAGTCCACCTGAGCGGTGTTTCTGGCATGGCCAGCCTGTTCTGCCAGCGAGCAGGGCCAGCCCGAAGGGCCTAGGGGTCTTTACTGCCTACTTCAAAATAATAAGCCCCTCCCCACCAGGCTGCAGCCTTCAACCAACATCAGACAGAGGTGGTAGACAGAAGCCCCCTGTGCCCTGTGCTCCCAGCAGGACTAAGCTCTGGGAGCCCACGTGGTAACTGCCCCGACAGCTGACCCTCTCATGTCCTCCCCCAGGCCCCCACTCCCCACGGTATTAGCAGGGATGGCTGTGCACTCAAACCCTTGTCACAAGGTCTGCTTCTGGTGGGGAACCAAAATGATCCCTATTTAAGAAAGATCATTCAGGTTGCACCTGGGATGGGATGGGCTGAGGGCCTGGGAACCTGGCTGCTGCTGAAATGACCTGCACTGGCTTCGATGCAGCGCCCAGGATACCTGGGATTCCTTGTCACTGGGCTCAGTGCCTCCCCCACGTCCAATCAAGCACCAAAGCCAGAACACACCCGTCTCCCTTCTGAAGAGTTCATGAATCCATCCGCTTCTGCTCACCTGCATGGCAGCTCCCTGGACCCTGTCACCGTCACCTCTCACCTGAACAGTGACTCTGTCTCCTCCCTGGCCTCCTGGCCTCTGTCCTTGTTTTCAATACCGCAGCCAGACGGGTCCTGCTTCTCCCCTGCAAGGACTCCTAGTGGATCCCGCTTTACTCAGAATAGAGTTCAGCAACCTTTCCCTGACCTGCCCCCTCCTCGCTGCTCACCTCTAGCCCCTCCCACTCACTCGCTCACCCACTGCTGTTCCCCAAACACACCAGGCTGACCAGCCCCTGGGGGGCTGTGTGTGCACATTTCCTCTCCCTGGGTCAGTCCTCCTCCAGACCCGCATCACACACCCCTCAACTCCTTCACTGCTGCTCGGCGATCACCTTTTCATCGAGACCAAGCCTGACCACCCTGTTTTAATTGCATGTCCCCCTCCTGACACTC